AGAATTCCTGTAGACCCGTGTAGACGTCTATAGACCCTTGTAGAACCATGTAGATGTCTGTAGACCCCTGTAGAATTCCTGTAGACTCTTGTAGAACCCTGGAGACATCCTGTAGACTCCTGTAGAATCATGTAGATGTCTGTAGACCTGTAGACCCCTGTAGAACCATGTAGACCAGGTGTGAAAAGAAACTCAAGCAGTTTGTCTCTGATTGGTCCACCAGGTGATGGCGATTGCCACAGAGCGAACGTCTCAGCAGACATCGGATCAGGACCGAGTGGATGAGGAGGTGATGTTCCAGTTCCTGGTGGTCGTGCTTCACCTCTGACCTCTGACCTCTGACCTGTGGCTCCTCCCCCTGCAGGTGTTTAAGAAGGCCTACATTCCCCGGACGCTGACAGAAGTGGACAACTACGAGCGGGATGTGGACCTGGTGAGATCCATGGAAGGGAACTTTGCTGACAGTGGACACCAGGACCACGTAAGACACTGTCCCAAAGTCCTGATCCAGCTTTGATCTGGTCCAGGTTTTAGTGACTGAAGGTGGTGTTGTTCTCCTCAGGTTCTGTACCGGACCCTGACAGGCCTGAAGAAGGATCTGTCTGGAGTTCAGACGGTACAGTTTCTGTCTTTCTGTTCCTGGTTTTGGGTCAACGGGACCCTGACCTCTGTTTGGTTCCTCACCAGGTTCCTGAACTGCTCGAAGGTCAGCGGTCTTCATCAGAGGAGGAGGAGGAGGAGGACGAGGAGGAGGAGGAAGAAGAAGCAGAGGAGGAAGGGCAGCAGGAAACAACGATGGACCGAAAGGTTTTTAATAATTAAGATTTTTTTAACAGTAATAATTAATTTAAATAATAATAAAAAATGATACAAAACAAAGATTTACGTATTTAGTTAAGTATTTGTATTCATCTAAGTATTATTATTTGTACTTCTACTTCTATATGCATCCATAGTTGAAGGTGTGCCTCTGTCCTGTGTTGTTGTGGAACGCTTCAGGTTCTTCTTCACACGTGTGTTTTCAGGAGAGGAAGAGGATGGTGAAGGAAGCTCAGAGAGAGAAGAGGAAGACTAAAGTACCCAAACACATGAAGAAGAGGAAGGAGAAGGTGGCCAAGATGAAAAAGGGCCGATGACTTCCTGTGGGTCCTTTCATTCTGGTTTTATTAAACCTTTATTTTACCAGGTGACACATGAAGAACAGGTTCTTATGTAGTGTCAGCCTGGGGTCAAAGGTCACTCAGCCAATCAGCTGCCTGGGCAGAGATGAGGCAGCCAATCATAGTTCAGATGTGTCAGTCAGCCTCGTCTCCATGCTTCAACTTCAACAACCGGTCTGATTTTTGTCTGTAAATAAAGTTTTATAAACAGATTTAGGCCTTTGGAGTTTTTTTTTCACTCAAAAACAAAAAACAAAACAAACCATGAGTTGTTTTTAGCATTTTGTTTGATGTTCTGATCCATGTCAGCATCAGAACATCACGAGAAATTAGGATTTAATTTACTGATTTAATCTATTCATCTACAGAGAAATAAACCTTCTCATTTTTATCTTAGAGAAACTAAATCAACTCACAGATTACTGTTATAGATTAGTCAGATTATATGTACAGATTACAGTTATAGATTAAATTCATAGATTATATGTACAGATTACAGTTATAGATTATATGTACAGATTACAGTTATAGATTAAATTCATAGATTATATGTACAGGTTACAGTTATAGATTATATGTACAGATTACAGTTATAGATTAAATTTATAGATTATATGTACAGATTACAGTTATAGATTAAATTCATAGATTATATGTACAGGTTACAGTTATAGATTAT